AGATGGAAGGGAAAAGGGCTTAAGTACCCATGGGTAGGTAGAAATCATTACGACTGACAGGTGGGTGGCATTGTCAGGCATGGTTCTGACAGAAACGACGCCAGAAGATACGGCTCTAAGAGCCAACTTTTCTTCCACGTGTGGCGATAGCCTCTTTCACACGAGGCGAGACGTCAAGTGGCGCTAGGCCTCTCTTCGAGCACGGCGTTAGTCCATTCAAGAGCGGCATTACTCCTCCACGCGCGCAGCATTTCTCTTTGATGTGCACGGGGTTACTCCTCCACGTGCGCGGCGTTCTTCCCTTACTCGCGTGACATTAGCCCAGGCAGTGTTACTCCACACAACGGTGCTACAACTTCTTCTCTCTCTCTCTCTTCGATTCACAGACGGCGCTGCCCCTTACTCTCGCGACGATGCTCTCATTCATGTGTGGCGGTACCTCTTACGCTCACGACGATACTCCCATTCTCGCGAGGCGTTACCAATTTATGCACGGCGTTACCCCATCACTTCACAGCCGGCGCTTCCTCTCACTACACAAACGGTAATGCTCCTATGCGCACGACGTTCCCTCTCTTTCACGCACGGCGCTTCCTCCGGTTCATCCACGGTGTTAGCCTTTACACTCGATGCAATACGCCTTCTTCCTTTGCGTCAGGCGTGTGCTTCCTTTACTTATCTTTATTGCTGTGAGCATCTTCAGTCCAGAAGAATTGGGGTCCTTACACAACCTCTTAAAATCTTCCATGACCCATTTCCAAAAGTCATTATGAAATCAGAGTCATCTAACCGCCTTATTGAAATGAGATTGTTATTTAACTCAAGAACATGCCTCACATTTCTCAATATGTGCTTCTTCTCATCTGATTGCCTGATAACAATATTTCCAATGCTCAAGATTTTGCAAGCTTAATCATCACCAAGATAGACCAAGCCACCATCCATATTTGTGTAAGATGAAAAATATGATATTTCTGAGTAAACATGAAACGAAGCACCAGAGTCGAAAACCCAAGTATATTCAATAGACACTATTATGCATGCAACACTAAAAGTGACCTAATCTTTACCATTTGAAACTGTACTTGCTTCAGCATAGCCATCCTTGCCCTTGGCCTTTTGCTTATTTTTTAGAGCATAACATTCTTATCTGATCAGGTTTCTTGCAATACTAGCAAATAACCTTTTTGCCATGTAACTTGACATGCCTTTGTCATGAGATTAAATCCAGATGGTTGATCTCTATGTTGGGTTCTTCCTGTATCTCCTACTGCCAATGCTTGATTTGATTCAGCAAGCATTTGTTTGCCTTTTTAGTCTCTTCATTTAACAATGAAGCTACAACATCTTTCAAATTAAACTTGTTACCCATTGTATTAGTCACTTCTTCATCCAAATTCACTTTGAGATACCTCAAATGTGCAAAAACTGAATTAAATTCACTCACCTGCTCTCTAATTGTAGCACCTTTTTTCATTTTCAAAATAAACAAGTTTTTCATGGCATGCATCTTATTTGCACCAGTTCGTTGTTCAAAAGATTGTTTTAAAGATTATCAAAGCTCTGCATATATTTTACACTGACAAACATCAAATAAAATTGATGGTGAAATACAAGGTCTAATAACTGCCAAACAATGTCATTCAAAATCATCACATTCCCAATCTTCCATTCCAACATATATGTGGCATGTTTCCTTCGAAGTGGCCGATCCTAGTCTTTTCCCAACAAGATAATATTTTATCATTATTTTCTGTATTGGTCAATTATTTTGATATAAAATTTTCAAATTCCATTGCCCTTTTCATTTTAAAGAAAATTACAGAAAATACATAATAGCCAAAAACCCTTTCTTCACAAACAAGTGAATCACAAACCTTATACTCTAATACCAGTTGTAGGGATCGATTGGTGGAAAAATCAACAGAAATTTATCACATTTACAGCTATTATGCATCCAAATGAACATAAACAAGCAATAGAATGAATATGGCATCAAAGCATCAACAAGGAATAAAAATAGAGCAACATGCATTCATATAGCACAAAGATTTAACGTGGTTCAGCCAAAAAATGTAACTTGCATCTATCGGAGAATGGTACAAGACTTTTCATACTGATTTGGGAGGATTACAAGGTGAAATCGAACTCAAAACATCAATTTCTAGCATCCCTTTCTTGCTTTAAACATCCAAAATAGGGGACCAAGAACACCAAAAAATGGGTCCTCTTTGATACTTTCTCTCATTAAAACGGGGCTAGCAGAATACCCACAATGGGTGCAAGCCTTTTGCTTACCTTCGCTCTCGAGCACAGAGCACATAGCAAACCTCCAAGAAAATACCCAATTTCAGTCGATCTCTCTATCATTTTTTTTAATTATTCCCTCATTGAAACAAAGTGAAATAAGCCCCTTTAAAGAAAAAAGTTCCTACAACATCTCAACCATTGGATTAGGTGCAATCTAATGGCTCAAAAGAAAAAGAAAATAGAGAAAAGTCAAATAAAACACCCACATGTGGGATTTGTCTTCACGAATGTAACATCAATGGGGTCGAATGGTTTCGTGATAAAGAAAGTCCAAAAGAGAGAGCAGGGTGAAATAGAAGGGGGTCAGTGTATGAGGTGAGCTCCATACAATAGAGAAAGAGTTCTTTGTATTGATTCTTATTTCTTCAGAGCAGATCAAATTCGTGAGAATTTTGAGGCAGGCGAAGTAAAAACTCTTCATCTTAGTGTTTTCATTGTTTATCTTTTTTTCTTCCTTATGTAAGTGGTATGATTTGAATGAAGATGGCCCTATAGTTGCTGACCGATTTGTTTTAGTGTGAAATAAGTTTTTAAAGGACTGAAATTGATTGTTTTACCCATTTTTGCACTAGTTTTATGTGAACTTCTGTAAAATGTTTTGACCTTCGATTGGAATTCTTTTTGTGAAATATCTGAGAGTCTTGTGGCGGCAGTTCCTATTGTAATGGTCTATGGAAGGTGTTCTTCCCTGATATAAATTTGGTGCAGTACACCATTTTTTTCTTCTCTCCTTTGCTTGGTTTGGGTATGAGCAATAACCTTCATATGCTCCATCTCACGCCTTTATGTGTGAGTTAATATTGAATTGTGCCTTGACCTCTGCAGGTAACTAATTTATCAATCAAAAGAATGCTTCATGGAATTGTTAATCGGTTGGTTGACCGACTTTATCTTTTCTAATTGGTTTCTTCTCTTTCAAAAATGCTTATTTTCCACTTTTTTTTGTTTTATACTTTTCTTCTTTTCATGTTGTCTTCATTGTCATTAACTACTTTTATTTATTTATCGGGGGGTTTCTTTTCCTTGCATGGTTATTTGCAGCTGGCCAAGGAAGCATACACATTTTGCAGTGAAAAAGGTTCCCTTGCAACAAAGGCTTTTAGTGCAAAGGTTGTGAAAATTAGCTCACATGCATGCAGCAATGTTGTAGAAATTTAGTTCACAGGAGTATGAGATCTTTGCCCATTGGAACTTTGATTGTGGTCAGCTCTTCATTGGTTCAGTGCATCTGGCAATAACCTCAGAAGCCATGGGAGCTTTTAGCAACATGACAGTACCCCTGAAATTAGATGTCATGCCTTCACCTTGACCGACTACTACTTTCGGGCCAACATTATTGTTGTGCTGATTTTCTCAACATACCAAAACCATATGCCATTCGTAGCACCAAAAAAAATGGCTACTTTCGGTCTCCCATATCCATGCTTTGTTTCTAGGCTAGAATGCGGTGGCAAAGGCAGATAAATAAAAAATAGTGAATTTTCGATGAAATTAAAGGTCAATTTAATAGCAGATGCACAAAAAGAAATAAAAGTTAGAAAATGAAAAGCTTTTAAGAGAGCCACGTCGATGGAATGGTTCTCTGCTTAAACGCCCTTTTTAGATACTTTCAACTATTTCCAAATGAATCTCCGAAATTATTCTATTCCTCTATGAACTACTCTTTTTTTATACATTCCACCAATGTTTCAAAAAACAACATGCGGCCCCAACGTGACAGGTATTTTTGCATTTAGGCCGGCACAATCCTTGAACAACACATTTAGTTGGTTCGCCCAGGGTTGAGCAATGAGCCCAAACCCCCTTAGCCCACCCGCCTAGGTGCTATTTATACATTCAACCATTTCCAAATTAATCTCCAAAATTATTCTATTTCTCCATATAGTGTTATTTTTCTATTTTACGTTTGTGATATGAATATCTTAGGGATTTTATTATTATTTTATTTTTTAACATTTTTAATATTTTATTTAGAAGTACAGTTAAATGTGCACACGCTAAATTTCAGGAACATCGTATTCCTAAAAAAGTAGTAAATTTTAAATACTACTTGATAATCATGCCAATTGAATGGACTTTGAATAGTAATTAGCTAGAAATTTAGTCTCTATTTACTTCTTTTTATAATCCAACTTGAAGTTTTAAGGTTGGGGAAGGTGAACCAATAGAAAATTATAAAAACAATTCTAAAATAAAAAACAAAATGCCCCTACAACACGCACGGGGGTATTTCCATCATAGTTTTTTTTTAATTAGTTTTTACATTTTCTTGGGCGCACCAAGTCGTGCCGCCAAAATTTCAAAGTCCATCTGAATTTAAAAAAATAATGAAATCGAACATGCCTCCTAATTCTCCCAACTATCATATCAAATCCGCACAGGGCTATGAGCAAATTTGCTCACACACACGAATTTAAGCTTTTCTTGCACGCCCACCCACACAAATATTTTCAAACTTCAACCAAAGCATTACATGTGCTATTTGATGAAATATTCCCAAAAAGGAAACTCACACAAAATACTATTCAATATGGGTATCATACTCTTGCTTATGGATCCCTCTCAATTACCTCCAAGTGGAAACTCCCCAAGATGCAACGCACATTCTTTTGCCCGGGCCTCTGACTACAATCAAGTAACCCTATACAAAACTAATGAAATTAATAAGCCACCACCCGAAACAAGCCATGTAATTTCTCCTCAAGAAAATAACTCATTAGAAGAGAATTAAATTTTTTTTTTTTTTAAAAAAAATGATAAACAAAGGCTCAAAGTAGCTGGGTTCTTAATGCTCACACAAGCCAGCAGCTAGTAAGATCTTCCAGTAGACCAAAACATAATTTTACAACAACAAAATACAGAGCCTGAAACGAAAACTGTGAGGGTGGGCAAACGGGAAGAAAGACAGTAAATTAAAAAAAAAAAAAAAAAAAGCGGGGAGAAATAATACAGACTATAAAGACTTCCCCAATCTCAAGTTAGCCAGTGAGCCCTGGTCCAAGTCCTGCTTGCTCTTACTTCTCTTCATCTTAGCCTTAAACCTCAATTTAGCACTAAGAGTCTGAACTGTGTTTGCGAAGTTTCCAGATGCCATAATCACCAGTAGGCCTCCACAAACAACTACCTGAACCCCAGAAAAAGTGCGGCAAATTAATCAAACTAATTCTCACTTCAATTAAAAAGAACCCAGGTGGAACCCACTTGCTATCCTCGATGGCATTTGAAAGACCACGGGAAAAGGAGGTTAAAAGTAAATTTATGGCCAACATTCTTGAATCACCAAAAAGAAAATGTAATTCTGGATATATCATAATGTTTACCTGCCACTCGGAGACAGAGCTGGTCACTGCAGTCATCAACAACAGTATCCCTATGTACGCTTCAAAACCCTGAAATTGATTATGTACAATACAATGTAACAACATGAAAACCAAGAGGGACAGGAATAGATTACATACAGGTCCAAGTATTACAGAAGTCATGGCCCTTGGAACTCATCTATAATGAAAATTGGAGCACTCTCTCTCTCTCTCTCTCTCTCTCTACTA